AATGCTAACGTTGACGAGAGGTTTACTGAACAGAACGATCGGTTCTGCTATGTCTATACCTAATCAATATTTCTATGTGGATAGAAAATCAAGTTCTCGAGGGATCGATGCGACAGACGAACCACCACCAACCACGGACAACGAGGGAACGCCACACCGTCGAATTGACATGGCCGTGTTGGCAATGACGAGGTCAATCGCGAGTGACCACTTAGGCGATCGATAACAATCTACGGTAGTCTTCAAACTATGAATATCCACTGAGAGGTTACAGATTAGAAACCTAACACGTTTAGAAGGACTACAATGTTCGAACAACGCTGTACCCGAATGCAGTGGATTTTAAAACAATGTCTTAACTGCCACCAAGACAGATGCCAGAATATAACTAGAATCGTGATAACTCACGTATTTTCTTAGCTTCCATTTCTTGCCAAGCGCTGTCCGTCGAAGGCATTTTTCCAGAGTAGGATATTGGAAGGGTGCCCTGCACCCAACAGTAATTTTCAACATAGTTGAGAAGATTCGTTCCACCAACTTCGGTCGCAATGTAGCAGGATATGGGTTTTAGAATGTACTGTTTTACCGTCACGACGAGAGTGCAGACGGAGATAATGATGACCGTAAAGATAAAGTTGAACTTGTCCGCGAAATCCTCAACCCCTGCGTAGCCAGCGAGTTGGAATTTGGAGACGTAGTCTATGAATTCCGTGCCAACCATGCTACTGGCACTTGAAACCGAAAAGCGAGCTCAAGAAAACCAGTTGCCTGAAAATAAAAAAGCGCAGAATGACAGGCTGGAACTTGGAAAAATTCCATATCCAGATGGCCCGAATAGAGCAGTTGCGAACAGCAGTAAAAACATGTCTTTCATTGTTGCCCAAGACTAAAGGAAATGCTTTCAAAAAGTTAAATGTCCCGTTCCTGCCAACACAGCACCTTAAAACGCAATATTCGCACGAAAGCCCTTAATAAGATGAGTGTCCCTTCACTTGGTGTGGTCAGTTTCGACTGGTCAACAAAAAGGGTCGGAATTTACAACGGCAGAACTACGTCTACCAGATAAAGTAGATAAATTTGGCAATGCAGTATCTAAGTTTTGCACTTCAGAGTACGGAAAACTCAAAATGAATATAACAAAAACGAAAACTAGTTAGGTTATTCGGAATTCCGACAAATGGCGTACTGGCAGACTATTTGGTGTCCAGCAGCCTTCCAAAGAGCAT